GGCTCCCAGAGTGTTCACAAAGTGTGTGGCGGTCGTCGCGGCATACCTTCGTCGACAAGGGGTACAGGTGTTCCCGTATTTGGACGACTGGCTGGTACGCGGCCGCACCAGAGACCAAGTTCAAGCTCACGTCCACATAGTGACACAAACTTTCCACGAGCTGGGCATTCTACTCAACAGAGAGAAGTCCACTCTAGTGCCAACCCAGAGGATAGAATTCATTGGAGCAATCCTAGACTCCAGACGTGCCCGAGCCATTCTGCCAGACAATCGCTTTCATACCATCACAAGCGTCATCCAAGGGCTCAGGACATTTCCGGTTACCACGATAAGGTCGTGCCTCGCCCTGTTGGGTCACATGGCCTCGTGTACTTACGTAACCAGGCATGCCAGACTGCGGCTTCGCCCACTTCAGACCTGGGTATCATCGGTGTACCGTCCACATCGGGACAACCTAAACATGGTGGTCACGGTTCCGAATTCGGTCCTGACCTCCCTCACCTGGTGGTTGGATCGCAGGGCGGTTTGCGCAGGAGTGCCGTTTCACGCCCCTCAACCCTCCCTGCATCTGGTCACGGACGCTTCATCTCTAGGATGGGGCGCTCACCTCGGGGAGCACCATACTCAGGGCTTGTGGACCGCACCCCAGCTAGCCCTACACATCAATGTTCGCGAGCTGATGGCGGTGCGCCTGGCTTGCCAGGCTTTTCTCAATCTCCTACACGGCCGTTGCGTGTTGGTTCTCACGGACAACACCACGGCCATGTTTTACATCAACAAGCAAGGCGGAGCCCACTCATCTCTCCTATGCCAAGAGGCCATTCGCCTGTGGGACTTCTGCATCGCCCACTCGATACATCTCACGGCATCGTTCCTTCCTGGAGTCCAGAATACGCTGGTGGACCGTCTCAGCAGGTCCTTCCAGACGCACGAGTGGTCAATTCGTCCGGACATCATCTATTCCGTCTTCCAGAGGTGGGGATTTCCCCAGGTCGACCTGTTTGCGTCTCGATCCAACAGGAAGTGTCAGGCATACTGCTCCCTACAAGGGCGAGCGCTGGGCTCTCTATCGGACGCGTTCCTCCTAACCTGGAAAGACCACCTGTTCTACACGTTCCCTCCATTTCCACTGGTCCACAGGGTACTGCTCAAGCTCCGCAGAGACCATGCACGGGTAATTCTAGTCGCTCCAGCTTGGCCGAGACAGCACTGGTACACCACACTGGTGGAGCTGTCGGTTCAAACACCGATCACGCTTCCCTTAGGTCCCAATCTCATCTCTCAGGACCACGGCCGGCTGTGTCACCCCGACCTGCAATCGCTCCACCTCACAGCGTGGATGCTCCATGGCTGAATCGGACAGAGCGGCAATGCTCGCAGCCCGTCCAGCAGATTCTGCTGGGAAGTAGAAAGCCCTCTACACGGACCACTTACTTAGCAAAGTGGAAACGTTTCTCCTGTTGGTGCGAGCAACGAGCTACGTCCCCCTTGCAGGCGCCTATTCCTCTCATACTTGAGTATCTCCTATACCTAAAACAGCAGGGCCTGGCGTTATCTTCAATCAGAGTTCACCTCGCCGCTATTTCAGCATTCCACCCAGGAGAACTCGCTTCCTCGATCTTCTCTAACCCGATGGTCGTTAGATTCCTCAAGGGCTTAGACCGGCTGTACCCGCAGCAACGCCAGCCCGTGCCAACATAGGACCTTAACCTGGTTCTTTCCAAGCTCACGGGGCCTCCGTTCGAACCATTGGCTACCTGTTCCCTCCTGTACCTATCCTGGAAGACAGCCTTCCTTGTAGCCATCACCTCAGCACGGCGCGTTTCTGAACTCAGAGCGCTTACGTCCGAGCCCCCATACACTGTGTTCCATAAGGACAAGGTGCAGCTTCGCCCCCACCCTGCCTTTCTTCCCAAGGTGGTTTCACCTTTCCACGTGAACCAGGATATATTTCTCCCGGTCTTCCATCCGAAACCACACGCTACTTGTCAAGACCAGCGTTTGCATTCTTTGGACGTACGCAGGGCCCTGGCCTTCTATATTGACCGTACAAGGCCATTTAGGAAGACGACACAACTCTTTGTTGCAGTGGCCGACCGGATGAAAGGCTCACCGGTCTCTTCACAGTGCCTCTCCTCCTGGATCACATCCTGTATTCGTGCTTGTTACGACCTGGCCGGTGTACCGACGCCACGCCTTACCGCTCATTCCACGAGGGCAAAGGCCTCCTCGACTGCCTTCCTGGCTCAAGTCCCGATCCAGGACATTTGTAGAGTTTGGTCATCGGTCCACACATTTGCTGCTCACTATGCGCTGGTGCAACAATCCAGAGACGATGCTGCTTTTGGGTCAGCGGTTCTGCACACATCAATGTCTCACTCCGACCCCGCCACCTAGGTGCGGCTTGGGAGTCACCTAATTGGAATCGATATGAGCAAGCACTCGAAGAAGAAAAGACGGTTACTCACCGTTGTAACTGTTGTTCTTCGAGATGTGTTGCTCATATCCATTCCAAACCCGCCCCCCTTCCCCACTGTCGGAGTAGCCGGCAAGAAGGAACTGAGGGGGCGCTGGGTCGGCTTGGGTATATATCCAGCGCCATGAAGGCGCCACTCCAGGGTGCTCCACAGCCGACCCACCGGGTGTTGCTAGGGTAGAAAATTCTCCGACGATTGTGCACGCGGCGCGCGCACACCTAATTGGAATGGATATGAGCAACACATCTCGAAGAACAACAGTTACAACGGTGAGTAACCGTCTTTTTTTCCTAATATCCAGCCTAGACCTCCCCCACTGCAACTTGAGACCATTGCTCCAGATGACACAAATCGGGGGCGGGGGGGCCGTGTTGCAAACACTTTGGAGGATAAAGCTAAAATTCAGAGGGATCTTCATAAATTGAAGAACTGGGCTATAGACAACAAAATGAAATTCAACAAAGATAAAAGTAAAATTAAATGCACAAATACAGAATGGTGGATAACTGTTCATCTTCAGCAATGTCCCTTCACATTCAGGTGGACTTTTGGAGGACCATGTTTTATTGCTGCAGACTATGCAACAACATAGACCCACTCCAAATCTTCTGTCCTTGATTTATTTTATTTTATTTTATTTGAGAGAGCGAGAGAGAGGACTTGCAGGTAACAGTTTCTGTTGTCTTCCTCTCAGCTAGTGTAGAACAAGCTAGCTGTGCTGTTCACTTGCACAAGCACCAAGGCAGTCACGATACTAGGACTCCCAGTATGGCCTTCCTGGAACATGGACTCTCAACCTAATTTCCTAAACTCTTTTTAAAAACCAAATAAAACCTTTTTAAGCTTTCTGAAGTGTTGTTTTCCCTTATATATCATCTTCATAATTACTTTTACCTCAGATTTTTTTGGGTTATCCAGCTGGAATCATTGTCCATAGAAGAGTCTTGTCTTCAAGTCTTCCTGGACATTGATTCTCAGTCTGGTTCCTAATTTGTATCCATACGGAACAATTCCTTTCACATAATTTGAAAGATGTTCTTTATTTTTTAATTTTTTAAACCAGCACATCCAACAGAAAAGTTGGTTCACAAATTGGAGTACAGACCTGTAAATTATCTGAATAGAGCAGTCTTGGGAAAAATTAAATGTCCTTCTGTTCTCTGTGTTGGACATAAGATAGAAGAAAGCTCCAAAGGCCTTTGTCTAATAACAAATTACCTTTGTAATCATGTTAGCATATCTCTTCCAATGATATAATCCTAATTTAAAATGTTTTAACAGAGGAAGCACGTAGGTTGAGTATTGTATTTTGTCCACTTGCCTTTTAATAAAATTATAAAGGAAAAAAGTGTAATTATACAGGCTAGAACGTACACAAAAGTATTTTTAGTTTTGGACTTTTGACTTGGTCAAACTCAGAAAGATCGGATTGCTCTAATTGATTACTAATTAATAACTATAGACCAGTGAACACAGATTTTACTATATTAATCTATGTCAAAGACTATTTTATCAGAAAAATATGGCTCTGCAGTTCCAGAAGCGGCAGCTGATATACTTCTATTTCCCATTGGGATGATTTGGAATTTATCCAGTCAACCAGGCTTTTGTTGTTTGTTTCTCAGTTTTACTTTTAGTAATGTATGTGTACTTGTATTGTGTACAGTTGTTTAAAATTAAATTTTGCAAAAACTGAGGAGTGTTGGAAGATTCTTCTAAATATAAGGAACAGCACACAAGAAAGCAGGATATAATGGGAGGGTACCTAAGGAGGGAGGCTAGAATTATTGTTCTTTGTTGGTTTTGTTCATGAAAAAGCACTCACATGGCTTACATAATAAAATCTGAAGATAGGTAATTTTTTCCAAAGAAGACAAAAGTCAGCCCTGAATGTTCATATGGGGGAGAGTTTGTAAGTTTAGTCTTCCCACTGTTTTAGATCTGTAAGTTTAGTTTTAGTGTAGGAAGCACTGGTAGAACAGGTTTTATTTTGGAGCTCTTGTATACAACTCAAATGGCTGCCTTCTTTACAAAAACGCAATTACACAGAGTATTTACAACCATTTATTTCTTATGTTGATGCTAAGCTTGACTTTTAATATACTTGAGTTAACCACTTTCCAGCTATGGCTGGAGTGGTTTTAGTGCTGGGAAAATCATCCTTTGAAGGCAGTGATTGAATACTTACATCTTTCATGAATTTTAATTACAGTATTTTAAAATAACTTGAATTGCATTTCACTCATAATATTTGAAGCTTGAAAGTGCAAAAAATGCATTAATATTGTGTGGGATGTATATTGTTGAATTTAAGCTTATATTTAAGTAACGAGTCTAGTTAAAAACACACCATCCCTCTATGTTAATATACCGTTAAAGAATCCAACCTCAGAAGTGATGTAATCAGCTATTTTTTCAGTGTATTTAGAAGTTTCATTTGGAGACCTTCCATATTTCTTTCTATCAGTACTCCATACAGATTAGTTTGTTTGCTATATTACCTATATGTCCTGTCTTGCACAGCTCTGAAAAATTTCTGTTACTGGCGGGAGGGAGCCTGGAGATCAGTGATGTCACAGAAGATGATGCTGGGACATATGCCTGCATTGTGGATAACGGGAATGAGACAATTGAAGCTCAAGCAGAACTTGCAGTTCAAGGTATGTAGAATGTTTAGTTTTGAGAAAGAACTGATCTCCACGTATGTGAATATATTATGGAGTTTGTTCTTCCATCTTCATTGACTTCAAAAGGGATTCAGTTTTTTCTTCTTTCTACAATAAAACCAAAACCAACAACCTCAGTTGGTTTCCTAGAAATGTCACATGATTATACTCATGCTGTTTTGTACTCTTTGTATTGTTCATGATTTCATAAACGCTCAAATGAGGAATTAAATTTTTATACATATGTATTAACCACATTGAAGACAGTTGCACACATCAGATGATTACGACAATATTAAATGTTTGGCACCATAAACTTTCCTAAAGGGAACAGTCTCTAGGTTATTAGGACTAAAAGTTGACCTACCTTTATAATTACCTTCTAGGTCTTACTTGACAAGGACACTGTCACAGGTATTTTTCATAATCCGTAAAGATGTTACTGTCTTAGAGTAACCCAATGGAAAAATATAAAACTGAAATCAATTTATTCACCTTATTTTCTCTTCTTTTGTGTGCGTACCATTTACATGTAAGGTTGCTCATGAATGCTATTTTTTTAATAGAAATAACATTGAGACATATATTTAAAGACACACTTTCAGTTATGTAAACTTTGCAAAGAAGTATACAAATAAGGTAAGTTCTCTAGAGGGCACAGAAAGTTAGGTGAAATGATGGCACCTCTTAATCCTTGCTATGTCTCCCAAGGGATCTCAGGTATGAATTTTTAATTGGAACTTTGTTCTACTACAATATATAGAAATGCCCCCAAATGCCTGATTGGTGCATATATACTGCATCTTGTCATAGAGCATGACTGATTTGTTTACAGTGGGTTGCACAGTAATGACGGCTGCTTTTATAAAAACAATTTAAAGAAAAAACCACAACATTGTTCTGCAGAGGTTGCATTTCATTATGTTTTAATGGTAGAATTAGCCATCTTATAATAGTAACTATGTCATAATATTAGAGCTTTTCATGTTTCATAATAAATGGAGAACAACAGTCCTGTTTTAAAGCCAATTCATTTCTATAGACAACATTTGTCTCTAATGGGATTACTTTTTATTAGTTTGTCCTCCTAAGAAAGGAAAGTGACTCTACAACAGAGTGTTTTGCTTTACAAACCAAACCAAAGCTAATTCTGCATAGTTGGAATCTGGACTAATTACTTTTTTCCCTTTAGGAAATCAATACATTTACAATTCATTTTACTGTTTGCAGGTGCTAAGAGTTTTGATCCCATTAATTAGTGCTGACATAATTAAGACTGGAAATAGACATAAATACACTTTAAATTGTCTAGAAGGAGAGAAATACCAAAGCTGAAACTTACCGTATATACTCATTCATTAGTCCGTTCGTTTATAAGCCGACCCCCCAAGATGGGAAATATCGTAAGAAAACAAAACCATGGGTCACAAATGAAATACTATAAATGTGTGATATTAGAAGAGAACTTAAGAGAGACAAGAACAGCACTGAGGGAGCTGATAAATACAGAGCAATTGGCAGAAAGATTAAGAAAGGAATGAAGGTGGCCAAGGAGATATGGATTGAAAAACAATGTTCTAAAATTGAAGAGTGTATCAATAACAAAAATAGCAAACGAGTCTTCCGGGTTGTAAAAGATCTAATGAAGGAAAGATGGACCAAAGCTAACGCAATTCAAGACACAGAAGGGAACAGTCTTACAGAAGAAAGGGACATCATCAGTAGGTGGACAAACTACTGCTCTGATCTATACAACCACCAGACAAATGGAGATCCTAGTGTCTTAGACAGCCCAGATTCAACAGAGGAGGATGACTTTCCAATACTCTGTGAAGAAGTGGAGACAGCTGTGAAATCACTCAAGAACGGAAAGGCTACAGGTATTGACAACATCTCAGCTGAATTGATGAAATTCAGAGGAGAAATAGTAATAGATGTACTCACCAAGAACTGCAGAAAGATCTGGCAGACCGGTGAGTGGCCCTCCATGTGGACACAGTCACTAATCATCTCTCTGCCAAAGAAAGGCAACCTGCAGTTGTGTCAAAATTACCGGACCATAAGCTTAATTATCCATCCCAGCAAAGTGATGTTGAAAGTCATATTGAACAAATTGAAGCCACAAGCAGAAAATATCATTGGTGAAGAACAGGCTGGCTTTCGTGCTGGAAGAAGTACCACAGAACAGATTTTCAACCTTCGTGTTCTATGTGAGAAGTACTTACAACACCAGCAGGACATCTACCACGTCTTTGTTGACTTCAAGAAGGCATTTGACGGAGTATGGCATGAAGCTCTCTGGGCAATCATGAAGAAGTACAATGTTGGTCATAAGCTTATTCTTACCATTAAACACCTGTATGCCAAGGCCAGCAGTGCAGTTCTCGTCAATAGCACAATAGGAGAGTGGTTTCGCACCACTGTTGGAATCCAGCAAGGCTGCCTTCTTTCGCCCACACTGTTCAACATCTACTTGGAGCATATGACTGATGCCCTAGAAGATCACATATGCACAGTCAGCATTGGAGGCAAACAATCTCAAATCTTTGGTTTCCTGATGACATTGATGGACTGACAGACAGCGAAGATGAACTTGCCAACCTTGTGAAAGGATTGGATGAAACCTCTACAAAACATGGCATGGAAATTAGTGCAGAGAAAACCAAGCTGATGACAAACAAACGTGATGGGATCAGCATATCACTGTCAGTGGACAAGAGCTGGAGACAGTGAAACAGTTCAAGTATTTGGGGTTAATCATCAATGATGAAGGATCCAAGGCAGAAATTCGGGCAAGAACTGCACAAACAACAGCAGCAGTGACAAAGCTAAAGCCAATTTGGAGGAATAAGAACATCTCCCTGGAATCCAAACTGAAACTGCTGCACGCATTGATCATCTCCATTTTTCTGTATGTGTGCGAGACAAGGACCCTTATGGCAGAACTTGAACGGAAAATACAGATAGTAGAGATGAGATACTTTCATAAAATCCTGGGCATTTCCTACTTCGACCACGTCACTAATGAAGAGGTCTGCAACATCATCACCCAATGTACTGGGTCATATGAAGACCTCCTGACGACCGTGAAGAAGCGTAAGCTGAAGTGTTACGGCCATGTAACAAGATCATCTGGCCTATCCAAGATCATCCTCCAAGGGACAGTACAGGGGAAGAGAAGAAGAGGTAGACAGAAGAAGAGATGGATTGACAACATAAAAGAGTGGACAGGAATGGATTTTGCGGAGACTCAAGCACTGACACACAATCATCAGGGGTGGAGACAATTGGTCGATTGCTCATCAATGATGGTGCCCCAACGACCAATGCGGTTATGGGAGTGATGATGATGAACTTCCTCTTGTGGGTGATACTGAATAATTTAGGAAAGTTGTGTGTTGTTTTTTTATAGGCTCTAAACCTCTGTCCCTTACATGTACTTCCCTCCATCTTAAGTCACTGTATGAGACTAATTGCATTTCTCTATTATTGTAATTTGGCAAAGAACTGTTGATTGGTTGGAGTGACTGTAATTTGATTATTGTATCATTATCCTCTAGAAAAATTCTCAGCTTTTCCCACCTAATGATCCTCTGATTCCAATCAACCCTCTTATGTCATTATTCTTCTTGGAGAATTAAATCAATAGAGATTCATACAAGAAATCGAGTTTTGGGTACTTAATTCCCTTGTGCTTCATCTGAACTTCCTTTCCTGGACAAACCAGTTTCTTTCTTAGTATGCTATTGTTATTTTGCTGTTTCTTTTATTATTGAAATATTTAACTACAGACTGTGCTAATTAAAACATGCTCTCAGTTTTTTCCATTAATATGTTATGCTGATAATTCACTGAGTTATTGTAGACCTGTACTTACCAGGTTTGGGTAAAAAGGCATTGTTTCACAATGTTAGGGCTATTGAAGGGGACGGCTCTTCTCAGAGACTCTTAACTGAGAGCTCCCCCAAAGTACAGTGGCAGTAGGTGCAGCCCCGTAGGAATTTTGAGGCAGTTGCTGGTAAGTTACCAAAACCAGTAGGTTGAACCTGTTAAATTGTGGATGTAAAATCAAGAGAATTATTAGAGCTATAAAATAATATTGCTTAATCAAGTCCTACTCATAACCATTCATTTGTTAAGCACTGATGATATCTTACACTGTAGAGGACACAAAATGAAGGCAGGCCTACCCTGAAAATCCTACACTTCTTTAAAAATACAGAAGATGGGATGCACTCAAAGTCTTGAAGGAAGAATGCTGAGGAGAGTTTTTCTTTAACATTTGGTTGGGTTAACATGTGGATATTGCAAAAGAAGTTAATCTTTTTTGGAGGGAATTGAAAAGCTGGGAAAGTGGTGGTTTGGGAAGTAGGGATCAGAAGAACATTCCACAAGTAGCAGGTGGTGTGGTTAAAGGCATGAGGACAGGAATGAGAGGAGTCAAAACTGTGCATTGATAGTTGAGTGGAGGGGATGGAGGGTGTGATAACAGACTAGATCATAGATATAGCCAGGAGTTAGGGCCATGAAGGCAAAATAATGAATTTTAAGCTTCAGGCAATGGATAGTAGGGAGCCAATAGACAGATTACAAAAGAAGCATGATTTGATCTGATAAGCGAGGAAGATAATTTCAGCATCTTCATTTTGCATATGCTCAAGGCAGGCAGTGTAGGCACTGGGATGCCAGAGAAGAAAGTTACAGTAATCGATTATGGCACTGACAACTGTTTGTCAGAGAACGTTCAAATTTTAAAAGTGTGTTTGTGGAAGAAGTAGCAAGCTGTTTATATGTCCTGGGTGTATGAGAAGAAAAGCAGGAGAGGTCATAGAGTTTTCAGTTAGGCTAGATTTGCAGTTTTGTCAGTATAGTTATGTAGGTCAGGGATGGCAAAAAACCATACCCCCTAGCCAATATAAGCATGCTGGCCAAAACCCCCCAGATATTTTAATAAAAGAGTGCTTTTGTTGGCATAGCTCTAATGTCATTCAGGA